GTTTCATATTCTTGTTTTTCAGAATCATTCCTCTTTGGGATAACAAATATGCCTGTGCATCGCAGAGGTCTATTAAGGGCACCTGGTATTTTTGGCCACTGTGTGACAAAGCGTTGGACTGGATGGGCCATTGGCCTGATCCAGCGTTGTCTTCTCTTACGTTCTTATGTACTTAGAGCAGCTAAAATACACTCAAAAATCTAAATTAAGTCGCAGAGAAGAAGAAGAGATTGGATTTATACCCCGCCCTTCACTACCCGAAGGAGTCTCAGAGCGGTTTACAATCTCCTTTCCCAGTTTGGTGTAGTGGTTAAGTGTGCGGACTCTAATCTGGGAGAACCGGGTTTGATTCCCCACTCCTCCACTTGCACCTGCTGATGTGACCTTGGGTCAGTCGCAAGCTCTGGCACAGCTGTCCTTGAAAAAGAGCAGTTTGTGTCAGAGTTCTCTCAGCTCCACCCACCTCACAGGGTGTCTGTTGTGGGGAGGGGAAGGGAAAGGAGTTTGTAAGCCGCTCTGAGACTCCCAAGTGAAGGGCGGGGTATAAATCCAATCTCTTCTTCTTCTTCTTCTTCCCCTCCCCACAACAGACACCCTGTGATGTTGGTGGGGCTGAGAGAGCTCTTTCGAGGACTGCTCCTGAGAGAACAGCTCTGAAAGAACTTGTGACTGACCCAAGGTCACACCAGCAGCTGCATGGGGAGGAGTGGGGAATCAAACCCGGTTTTCCCAGATTAGAGTCTGCGCTCCTAACCACTGCACCAGACTGGCTCTCAGCGAAACTGCAGAAGTTCCAGGTCAGTAATATGAGGCAGTTTCTCATAAGTTCATCACTGATTTTTCAGTCAGTGCTTTTACCATTGTGGCATGCCATTTTGCAAAATCACCACCTGTCAAAACAAAAATAACTAAATTTGTTAGGGACATTTCCTATATTCTTTTAGAAACTTTTCATTTTCACATGCTGACCTCTTAGGGGATGTTTTCCTCACCCCCTCCTCCAACTGAAACCGAGTAGAACATTCTGTTTGTTTTGCTTCCTCCAGAGCTGAATGGAAGCTGATTTACGTTGTGTTATTCATAATGCAGGTAATCAGGCACTTAACATCCGTGGGTACACTGACTAACATTGCTGGGATGTTACCCCCGGCTGCTAAGCAAAGGTAAACAAAAGGGTTGGGGTTTTCAGATAGCTTATCAAAAACCTAGAAGAAAAGAAGCATGGATTCCTTGAACAGCAGAAAAGGGCAGATCTCTTGTGAAATTAAAGCCACAAAGATCAGTGGGTGACCTTCGTCCAGTCACTCTTTCTTACCCTAATCTCCCTCACTAGGAGCCAGTTTGGTGTAGTGGTTAAGTGCACGGACTCTAATCTGGGAGAACCGGGTTTGATTCCCCGCTCCTCCACTTGCACCTGGCTGGATGACCTTGGGCAAGCCATAGTTCTGTCAGAGCTGTTCTTTAAAAAGAGCCATTTCTGTCAAGAGCTCTCTCAGCCCCACCTACCCCACAGGGTGTCTGTTGTGGGGAGGGGAAGGGAAAGGAGTTTGTAAGCTGCTCTGAGACTCCTTTGGATAGTGAAGGGCGGGATATAAATCCAATCTCCTCCTCCTCCTCCTTCTTCTGAGGATAAAATGGGGGGAAGGCAATGCCACCCTGCACTCCTTAGAGGAAGGCGGGATTGAGCTGGATATATAAAAACACAACAGATATACCCTGAGAGCTCCTGCGACACGTTCAGCAGCGCTTCCCTTGTCCTCTTATCACAAGATCATTCTGTTGTCTTTAAAAGATTTCTGTCCGGCATCCTATATTTCTGCATTTTTCGCCTTCCCCTCCTCTTGTTTCCCCATCTACAAAACCCAAACATCCTGGATATCTGCATGCTCACAAATCCACGTTTAAACAAACAAGCTGATGAAATGTCAGAGAGGTTTATCCAGCCGCTTGGATGGCATTTCGGGAAGGTTAGGATGACAGGGTCTGAATATGAACAGCCCGATGACAGCGATGCGAAAAGATCAGCCTCCATGTCAATAGAATGTCTCTCCCATCTGTTCTGTTTTCGAGTTGCCTCGATTGCAGGAATTGCTTCCATAGTCCAGGCGAGCCATCTGTTTAAAACATGCATGTTTTGAAGGGGCTGTCCTGTACAGTAAACAACCGTCTGAAAATCTATTAATGGGAAACATGAAATGCTCTCAGATTTGCTGCTATAAAGCAGGGAGGGGGGACGCCTCAAAGCAGGCCAGACTGTTTACAAGGAGATCTAAACTCTTTGCTAGGCCATTTGTAGTGGATAAACCTGGGAAAAGAGCGTCTTGCCAATCCTTACAAGTCTTTTCATGTGAGAGGGTTTTACCCAAGTCAAATGCAGAAATCTTTAATGCTAAGATAAATAGGCTGTTAAAATTCAGCAGCAGGCAGAATGGGGAAAGTATTTCTCTATGGAAAGTCTAGAGCAGGGCTGTCGAACTCATTTGTTATGAGGGCCGAATCTGACATAAATGAGACTTTGTTGGGCCGGGCCATGTGTGTCATAAAAGGTAATGCCAGGTAGGAGCTGGGCCACGTGTGTCATAAAATGTAATGCCAGGTAGCAGAGGTATAAACTTTATAAAGGACACAAACACAAAGTTTTTTTTTTTACTTAAAATAAAAACATGCTTTAAAACATTACCTCTGTAAGCTGCAAACCTACTTTTGATTTATTGACATTCACCACAGAAATCTCACGCTCAGAGTTCTGAGTCTGGGACCCAGGTTAAAACATGAAATGGCTGAGCGATTGAGAGAGTCGGGAGAAGCAAGCTATGATGCAGCAGCAGCAGCAGCAGCAGAACTGGAAGCAGGAGATGGCCAGTTCCACTGGGGGCCTGATGGAAGCCCTACGGGGGCCTGATCTGCCCCCCCCGGCCACATGTTTGACACCCCTGGACTACAGAGTCAAAGGAATGGCTGCAAGGCCCTGACCCCCCCCCCCTGAAATTGGGTCAATTCAGATATGGTCAAATCTTGTCAAATAAAGCTCAGACATCCAAGCTAGCCTGATCTCCAGTATTTGGTTGGGAAGAAGATGAAGAGGAGGAGATTGCATTTATACTCCGTAAAAAAAGAAAAGAAAGAAACCACCTCTGTTTGTCTGGGCTTGACCTGGACAGCCTGTTCTCATCACATCTCGGAAGCTAAGCAGAGTTGGCCGTGGTCTGTACTTGCACGGAAGACTACCAAGGGGAGTCTAGAGTTCCTGTGCAGATCCAGGGAATGGCCAACCACCTCTGTTCATCTCTTCTCTTGACCTGGATGGTCCAGGCTAGCCTGAACTTGGAAGCTAAGAAGGTTGGCCCTGGTTCACAGCTGGGTGGGAGACCACCAAGAGTCCAGGGTCACAACACAGAGGCAGGCCGTGGCAAAGCACCTCTGAACATCTCCTGCCTCGAAAACCCTACAGGGCTGCCGTAAGTCGGCTGTGATTTGACAGAACTTCCCCCTACCATACCAAGTAGGCACCACATTTGAGGAAGGATGCTGACAAGCTCGAGCGTGTCCAGAAGAGGGCAACCAGGATGGTGAGAGGGTTGGAATCCAAGTCCTACGAGGAAAGGCTGACGAAGTGGCCCTTTTCTCCAGTGGAACTCATCTCTGTTGCCTGGAGATCAGTTGTTCACAGCAGGAGATCTCCAGCTGCCACCTGGAGGTTGGAAACTCTAGCCAGACATTTGAAACATTCACTTATTAAACCTGGAAAAAAGAGAGTTAATGGTGCTCCCTGCAAAAACCTAATGTCGCTCAATGTTGTTAAAACCACCGCATTGCCTTGTAAACGGCTACGATTGTCCTTTATTTATAGCCAGCGGTATTAGCCGATATAAATTCTAACACCTCAAGGGGTCCCAACACCGACTCCCCCTCCCCGGACCTAAGGATGCCTGGCTAGCTTCAACCAGGGCCAGGGCTTTTTCGGTGGCAGCTCCACTGTGGTGGAACGAGCTCCCAGAGGAGATCAGGGGGCCCTGCAGGACCTGATGCAGTTCCGCAGGGCCTGCAAGACGGAGCTCTTCCGCCAGGCGTTCAACTCGGAGCCATCCCAGGGAGAAGGCCCTGCCCCTTTGAAATCTTGAGGCAGCCTGAGTCACCTGTTCAATGTTAGATCTGGACCGTCCACCAGGAAGGCATGGAAGTTGAGCGCCATCCTGAATGAAATACTAAACTAATACCTGTATAACGGTTTTGTCTGGATGTTAGCACCTTTTAATGTCCTAATTGTTAATTGTAAATTGTTACTTGGTTTTATGACTTTTATGACTTACTGTTATCTCTGTTGTTTTATCTTGTTGTTAGCCGCCCTGAGCTGGCCATGGCTGGGAGCACGGGGTATAAATATAATAAATAAATAAATATTGTGGGGCAATCTTGGTACAGAGTGGGTCTTGAGCAATGCTCCCTCTAAGCTGTGGAGTCTTCTGAGCAAAAATTCTACTTTGTGAGCTACTGGCATTAAAGCTGTGAGCGAGCGATTTGGCTACTGCATAAATTAGTTTGCTCTGGAGCCCTCCTTCCTGAGCTAAGACAAAAATGTGTGAGCCAGAGGCTAAAAAACCATGAGCTAGCACACACTAACTCAGCTTAGAGGGAACACCCTCAGCTTTTCCCTATCGCTCTTCACGATCAACGTTTTGAGCAAGAATACGTTTTAAATCACATGAGTGCTGCGCTATCCAGCTTGAATAGGTGTTCCCATTACATCTACGGACAAAGAGAGCAAACAGCCAAATGTGTTTCTTTTCCATTCTCCACACACTATGTCCTACTGGACTGCATCACCCAAATACCCACCCAGGATAAGCATCTCTTCCCTTCCGTGAGATCAGTGGAAGAAGTAAACAAGGAGCCTGGAACACAGGGTACGATTCAGAGCTGCACTCCCTGGTTCCTTTTTTAACAGGCCGGCTGTACGGATGAGTTTGTTTTTTTAACAAAACAAAACAAAAAACACGTACCCGTCGTAATATGCCCGTCATCATTTTTCATATCCTTCCGAGTTCTGACACTGATCGTGGACGACTGTTTAAACAACCGAGGTTGCTAAGGGGAGAGGGCACATTGGGCAAATATTTGACCGCGCAGGCTGGCTCAACTGAGCCCTACTTCTGTACAGGACAGTAAACTAAGGGTGCCAACCTCCAGCTGGTTTCCAGACTACAGAGATCTGTTCCCTGGGAGAAAACTGGCTGCTTTTTAGGGCAGACTCTATGGCAGGGGGTGGGCAAACCTGCTTAATGTAGGAGCCACGTAGAATAAACGCCAGATGTTTGAGAGCCACAAGACATGAACAACTATAACTCACATGTTTTTATAGGAAAATATGCGAATTTGCTTTTCTTTTTTTTTACATTAAATGAGACTGCCAGAAATAAAAACAAAAGGGGTAAAAATTGATGTTGATAATGATTAGATGGGGAGGGAGGGAGGGGAGAGAGAGAGAGAAAGGTGGAAAGAAAGTGTAAAGAAAGCAAATAGATGGGAGCAGGGGTCATTTCGTAGAAAAAGAGGTGCAAGAGCTCATTAGCATAACTTATTAGCAAAACGTATTTGCATACGCCACACCCCCTGACATCACTGGAAGTGTGTCAGAAGGCAACGCCCACCGCTCAGGCTCCACTGGACTCTTTTGGATTGCTAGATATTGGGAGAGGGGGACGTGCAGAGCTGTCCTCACAGAGGAGGGAAAGCTTGTACCTGAATAAAACTTGGTCTTAAAGGTGCCACTGGACTGTTTTGGATTGCTAGCTATGGGGGGGGAACGCGCAGATCTGCCCTCACGGAGGAGGGAGAGCTTGTACCTGAAAGCTTGCTGGGGGGGCCTCTGCAACTTACCTGGCTCCTTGTGGCCTGACTGAGGGCTGCTGGGAGAAGGGGGGGGCTTGTTGCATGTGCCCACCCCCTGGGCTCCTTACTGCCGGAGCTTTGCTCCTGTGCGCTCCTGCAGGAAATGACCCCTGGATGGGTGGGAGGGAGAGATGGAAAGAAAGCACCTTTAAATGCATCTTCCAAGACCCCTTACACCAGCTGGATTGGCTTGGAGAAGGGGTTTAAAGAGACAAATGCCTTCTCCAAGCCAGCCGGCGGCGGCGGGGGGGGGGGGTCTTTAAGAACACATTTAAAGTTAAAGTTGCTTTCTTTATCTGCTCCCTCCAGCTCAAGCCTACCCAGGGAAGGGAACCTGCCGGGAGTTGCATAGTATGTGTGAAAGAGCCACATGTGAGCCACATTCTGCACTGAGAACTTCAGCCCCACCGGGAAGAAATTTGCCCCACAAGCCACAAGATCCTGGCTACGGGCCTGGCCTGGCTAGAACTTGGATCAGAGACCACTGAGGAAGTACTAGTGTGCTATGCAGGCAATGGCAAATTGCCTATGTTCCTCTTGCCTTGAAAACCTTGTGGGGTTGCCATGAGTCAGCTGCAACCTGATGATACTTTCCACTACCACCAAAGAAAAAAAAGATAGGGTTCTTGTTTTGTTCCGGCCTTTTCTCCCTAGGTCCAAACTGGTTTCAGAATGTTTAGCCACATCCCACCATTTGAGGTTTAGATTCACGTCCAGCTTTGAGATTGTCATTGTCTTTAGAGGCCGTGCACTCCCCTTTCCAGATTAAAACTGCACATCGCGCACGGCTCATAGAATCGTGGAGCCATAGAGCTGGAAGGGGCCATACAGGGCATCTAGTCCAACCCCCTGTTCGATGCATGAATAAACACTGCCTCCATCTCCTTTCACCGGCTTTTATGCTTTTCTCTTTTTCTGCCCCCTAGCAGAAACTCCAGCTTGGCATCTCTCAAGGATGTGGTCAAAACGCGAGCATCTGTTCAATGGCTACGGACACTGCAAACCTTCTTGGAACATACAGCTATGCAAACCTCTTGTAATGTTTTACAGCTAGCAACTATTGCCAGGGAATGGCATGAAGAGCGAGCTAAGTATTTACCTCCATTTTACGAGCTTTAAATTCACTTAAAGTCCTGTTTGGTTGTCACTCAGAGTTGTGAACAGAGAGCACATGTCTCAGCTCCTGAATTCCATGTTCATGGTGATGCAACCAGAGCGGAGCTCTCTGCACCCCTTAGAGGGAGCTTTGGTCTAACATAGAGTAACATAGAGTAACTAGCAGAGAAAGTTACAGAGGGGAGCCGTGTTGCTCTGCAGTAGGAGAGCTGGATTCGAATCCAGTAGCACCATAGAGACCAACCAGATTTTTGGAGTATATAATTATTATTGTTGTTGTGCTGTTGTTGTTATAAATTTTGACTTCTAGACCACCCTTCCCTGCTGGCAGGCTGAGAGCAGTTTACCACAAGACAAAAACAATAGATAATTTAGATTGTTAAAACCATAATAAAATACCATACAATCAGTATACAGAAGACAGTCTCAAGGTGGCAAAATTTCAAAAAAAATTGCAGCTTTAAGGGGGTAGGTGAAGGGAGATGGGAGGTATGGGAGTGCGGATTTACTTGCTGTCCCGTCGCTGTCCTCAGCTAAATGCCTGGCGGAACATTTCTGCCTTACAAGCCCTGCAGAAAGGCAATAGGTCCGGCCGGGCACAGATGTTTTCGGGCAGAGAGTTCTACCAGGTGGGGGCCAGGGCCATGGCTGAAAAGGCCCCGGCCCTGATCAAAGACAGCTGGATCTATCTCAGGCCAGGGATCACCAGGAGGTTTTTAATTGCCATAGCGTAATGCTCTGCTGGGGGCACACTGAGAGAGGCGGTCTCGAAGGTAAATGGGTCCTTGACTGCTAAGGGCCTTAAAGGTCAGAAACAGCACCTTGAAGCGGAGAAGAAGGAGGAGGAGGAGGAGGAGGAGATTGGATTTATACCCAGCCCTTTACTACCCAAGGGAGTCTCAGAGTGGCTTACAATCCCCTTTCCCTTCCCCTCCCCACAACAGGCACCCTGTGAGGTAGGTGGGGCTGAGAGAGCTCTGGCAGAAACTGCTCTTTTTCAAGAACAGCTCTTGTCAGAACTATGGCTTGCCCAAGGTCATCCAGCAGGTACAAGTGGAGGAGTGGGGAATCAAACCCGGTTCTCCCAGATTAAAGTCCGCGCACTTAACCACTACACCAAACTGGCTCTCAAAAGCTTATACCCCCAAAATGTTGTTGGTCTTTAAGGTACTGCTGGGCTTGTATCTGTCTCTCAGAGAAAGGAATCCAGGGTTGTGGCCACACACGCTAACTAATCCACTTTCAATCCACTTCCAGTGCACTTTCCAACTGGACTTTCACTGTGTGAACTGGCAAAATCCAGTTGGAAAGTGGATTGAAAGTAGATTATTTCGTGTGTGTGACCGCAGCCCAGGAAGCAGATGTGGATGCTGGGATGTCTTCCCATGACCTGGCTCCATTTCTTTGGCACAGACTGTACTTCCATGCACCGTCATGATACGTAAACAATACAGAAGGGAAAGTGCCCTCCAAAACAACCGCTACAGAAGTTCCTAATCTTGTTTGCTCCCCTTCAAGCAGAGCAAGGGAAGGAGAGTGGTGCACCTTGGAGACTCCATTAAGTTTTTATTTTATGGCTCAAGCCATGCGTGGAGCTAGCGTTGCAGGCTTGCAGGGATACAGAGAGGATCCCAACCCAAATATTTATTTCTAGCATTTATTGATCCGGGAGCATAGTAGAGGCACGCTTTGCCCAGGTCCAGCCTGTTTGCTTTGCCTGGTTGATTAGCCAGGTCCCGATAAGGCCGACGCCGGTACATGCGGAGCTTGCAGCAGGGCTATAAATACAAGGTCAAAAATATTCAGAAAACATAAATAGTTACACAATTACGCTACCTCATGTGGCCACGACCAAATCTGTCCATGAACTAGATTAGGGCCAATGCTATCCTACAGAAGAATCTGCTCATAGCAAATTAACCTTCACCTAACCGCTCCAGCCACCATTCCCTTGATGCTTTTATTTATTTATTTATCATGCCGATTTGTATCCTGCCCTCCCCACAAGCGGGCTCAGGGGAGGTTTCAAAGTCACAGGAAAAATCGTGACTATCATAACAATAAATAGAAGTTGAACAATAAAATTAACAGTAAAATCAACTATGCAAGTAACCAGAGCGAGCTTGCCTTGATAATATTGCTCGGATGGAAACATCTCAGAGTGGCACCGCTGGATGATTAACTAGATTAAAAATCAGCGCTGCCAGTAAGGGAGGCCAAGATGGATTTGGACGTCTGCCACCTTACACAATTGTGTTGCTTGACACAATTCTACTATTCTCGTAAGGAAAACGAGTTTTAACAACAAGACGACCTGTGACTTTCCAGCGAGTGATAATGATGACAGCAGTTATATATCTTTCTGCAGACTGTATAACTTTCCAGCAGACTAGTGTGTCTCCCAGGTAAGGTCACATTTCCAGTCATCGTCAGAGTCACGAATATACAAAACTCATGATTAAATCTCACCACTTCCCATACTCGAGGAGCAAACTGCTTCAAACTCAGAAGGGTTGGTAGAAGCATTTTCCTTATGAGAATAGTAGAATTGTGTTGAGCAACTCCATATGTATGACTTGGGCTCTGTTGTGCATAGTCATGTGTTTTGTCCTTTGACGTGGCACACATATAGGTTTAAGGTTTCATTTTACGAGATATTATTCCATTCTGTTGAAAGGTTATATTGAACTAACATAAACTGTACACTACATAAGGTTTTATTTAAGTCTTTCTTTTCAGTCTTACACAGTCAATTAACAATTGTTCTCGCACAGTGATTTTTACATTTTTTGCCATTAGTAGCACTGTGTTCCCTTATAAAATTTGTAACCTTCTGGGGCTTAGGCAGCTGCCTTCTCTTGGCCACAGTGGCTCCCACCCACCTTCCACAGAGCAAGAACCAACCGGCACAGGGAAAGGCTGCTCCTTGCTTGGTCCTAGCAGGGGGGCTGTCGGTGCTTCTGGGACCCCATCCTGGTGTTTCTTTTTTCCAGGGCTACAGACCTGGATGGCCCAGGCTGGCCCAATGTCATCAGATCTTGGAAGCTAAGCAGGGTCGGCCCTGGTTAGCCCTTGGATGG